TTGTATGCAGTTATTATATAATCTATATCAGAGATACATGTAGAAAACAGATCTTTATTACTAGAAAGAATAATTGCAGCAATTCTCTGTTTTTATATTATAAAGATAAGTTATTCTCATTTCTTTCTTCTCTCTTTTCTCTTCTTCTTCAACTCATCACTAAGTTCAAGCTGATATGAAAACTATTAAAACACTCTTAGAAACTCTCAAATTGAAGAGTATAGACTAATCAAATTTTAAATACAGAAGAATCAAATTACATTCAGCATTACTAATTATTCATTCTCTCTTAATAAAATCACAGTCACATCTTTTCTCTTCTCTCTCTCAAATAAAACATAGCCTGTGAAAAGCAAGTATCACATCAGGCTATAATAATCAACACAGCTTCAGTACACAGAGCTGTATACACACAGCATGTACTGAACTGAGAGACTGCATGGGTTGTAAATCAGTGTCAGTATTTCAGAGAGAGCTATGTGATGTGAAAAAGCTGTAACTCTCAGTCACATGTACAGAGAATGAATTGTCACAGTAAGTATATATGCATTGTATGAAAGTAATACTTTTTAATAATACTCAGTCTCTGATATTATGAAAATAGAGTCTCTCTGTGAGATCTGTTTTTACCAGAAGTCAGAGAATCTTATATTTCTTAAGATTATCTTTATCTGTCTTATTCATGAAATCAATGAGAGAAATCATTGATTTCAGTGTTCTACTCTTGATATCATTCAAGTAGCAGCAGAGTTCATTCTGACCATACTTTTTAGATGTATATTTTTTAAATATTCACATTTATACAGATATATACTGATTATTTATTAGATGATGTTAAGATAATGACTCATCACAGTCATGTTACTCTCACTATGAGAGATACACAGTTAATAATGAACATTGTAAAGACTCTGAAAAGTGAGTATTTTAGAGATGCTACAGCTCTGTGATCTTGATTTTTTTTATTTTTATTTTTTGTTTTTTTCTTTTTCTTTTCTTTTTTTTTTCTTTCTCTTTTTTTTTTTTTTTTGTTCATTCTGATTTTTTCTTGTTTTTATTTTATTTTTTGTTTTTTGTTTTTTTTTATATTTTATATTTTTTTTATAATTAAAATTATATGAATTATGATCTGTGTTTAGAAAAGTAATAATATTTAATAACACTCTCTATTGAATTTTTAACAAATGAGCACTATGTTATGATATTATATAAGTGAGAAGTAATTTCATAATCTCATTTAATATCATTCTCAATAATGAGATCAGAATGAAAATGTGACTAAGAATTCAAATATATTCTTTATTCAGAACTAGATTTTTATTTAAAAAGTGAATCTAAGATCTTTAATATTTGAAATAACATGATTTGAAATCAATGTGATGAACACAAACTATGATCAGAAGTAATGCTTTTAGACAACGTGATAACTGTAAAGTTTGATTCTGATCTCAGACACAGTAACACGGTCAGTCTACTTATACTGAAGATAATATCAATTTTATCTCAGATTTCTGAAATCTAGGCTGTGAATCTGAAGTCTTTGATGCTGAACTATTTATAATAGTGAAAGCTTCCAAACTCATTGAAATAAAATCTCATAAAAGAGAAAATAGTTTGAAAGAGACATGAATATTCTCTGATAGTCAAGCCACTTTAAAAAGACTTAGAAATAGTCAGATTCATAATAATCAAATGAATCTTAAACTGATCTTAAACTCTGTTTTAAAAATTCAAAAGAGAAGAACATCAAAGTCAATAATTCATCTACACTGAGTTCCTGCTCATATGAATATTCATGGCAATGAATTGACTGATTCAGCTGCAAAAAAGGGTGCAGAATTAAGCAGATCTATTCAAAAAATTATATCCTGGTCTTTTATAAAGAGAAAAATAAAAGAATCTTGTTTAGACAAGTGAAATGAAAGCTGGCAGAAACAAAAGAAGAGTATACATTATTCAAGATTTGAAACAAAACCCAAGTGGAAATCTTGTTCAATTAAATGTAAAAAGAAAATATTCTCATCTATAATACAGCTGAAACTAGAACATGGCTATTTCAAATCCTATATACAAAGATTTAATGATAGATTTGACTCAATAGAATGCTCATTCTGCAATGCAAATGAGAATTCTGAGTATATTGTAATGCACTGTGCATTATACAATAGTCTCAGAGCCAGATTGAAAGAGAAGTATGATCTAAATCAATTAAATATGAGATTCTTATTCTCAACTGAGACAGGAATTAAATACTTAATAGACTTTCTATCAGAAACTCAAGCAGCTATAAGAAAATGGCTAAATTCAGAATTATCTGAATATGAAGAGGAGGAAATCAATCAGATATAGTCTGTTAAAACAGCTATATACTATCTTTTAATAATTTGTTTTGTTACAGTCTCTCTTTACTTTATCTTTTCCTTTCAATTCCTTTCTATCTATCTATTTAATGTGTCTATCTTTAAGACTGTGTTCTCTTTCTCTTTTCCTTTGTCATGATATTGTCAAATGATTTCAAAGTATCAGAAGATGTTAAAACACTGCAATTTGTAAACAGTTTTTGTATTCTGAGCTGGAATTTTCTGATTTTGCATATCTGAAATTGATGAATGTATAATAGTTAACTTTACAGATATAGGAAAAACCCTGAGAACTAAAAGTTCTCAGGTAGATATCATAGTCTCTGACTGCATACATCTATAATTGAAGAATAATAATAATAATCATGTAATGAGTATAAATGTCTTTTGAATCATCAAATTCTGTGAGAAGTCAGGGTTTTGATAGAGGAATATACTGGAGGTTACGACATCTTATGACTGAAGATTTTATCATTGCATAGTGGCATAGACTGCTGTCTATCATAGCTTTCATATTATACATGTTATTAATCACAGTAGATACAAGAATTGCATTCATTGTCATTTTCTCTTCAAATTGTTGTCATTCAATCTCTTCAAGCTCCTGTTTACAAATTTGAACAGAAGTTAATCTTTTCCCTGTTTCATTAGAGTATTCTTGTAGTTATCTTCTGAATCTTCCTTCACTGCAATGTGATTGGTGTGGACAGGTGCTGATTCATTCTTCAAACAAGAAGACACTGATCTTTCTCTTGATTGAGAAGGTGCCAGTCTTTCTCTTGAGCGTGAAGACATATAGGTTGATTGGCAGTTGAAAGCAATGTATTCTAATCAGTTACAATTAATGTATACTTCATATTGATGTTAATCAGTGACTTCTTCAGAAGTAATTCCGGGAATTCAGAAGCCTGTTCAAACAGTGAAAACTCTTACTTATGTATAGATATTTGAATCTATTCAGTTCATGATATCTGCATCATTGTTGTTCTTCAGTGTGAGTGTATGAGTAGCTGAGTTATTTCTCAGCACAGATGTGTAAGTGTAATGTCTTCTGTTACTGTTCTGTATACTCTTGAGCTTGATAAGATAGTCATTCAATGTTCAGAGCTGTGTGCAGAAATCTTTATAAGTCTGGTCTTTATCTATGCTTATAAGAGTCTGTAAGAGTTTGAAAGTTAATGTCTTCTTAAGCATGCTAATCTTCATTTAATTCTCTTAAGATTGATTACCTGCTTCTAAGATCTTGATGTTGAAGTCAGAGATAAATGTTATAAGAGAAATGTTTCTCTGTCAGACACTCTGTAATCAATCTAATACTTTCTGTTACATGGCAGTGTCTCAGAACAGAATATTAAGATATTTGATGATATTATCAGATATTTGCAATGCTGATTCACATGCTTTTATTCATGAATGAAACTTCTGTTTCATGTGATTCTTCAATTATTCATTGATATATCAATCTTGATTAATTAATAAACTGATGAAATCTTCATCTACACTCAGTTTCATAAGCATTTTCATTCTTCATAATGAGTAGAGAGTGAGATCAGAAGTATTGAAATATACAGAAGTATCTAAGTGTTCTTTCAGCACTTTTATATTTAATTCTATAGATATTGAAATTGCATGAGTTAATCATTGAATCTCTTCATATTGAAGTTGTTGAGTTGCATGCATATCAGCTATTTATTGTTATTGTAATTTCAACATTACTTAAAGTCACTGTGACATTATATCTATACTCGCATTTGAGAGTTTCATATTATTGTTAGATATGATTATATCAATTATCAGATGTGTGATATCTGTGAAATCTGAAGAAGTGTAATTATATTCTTATATATCTAAGTATCAGAACTCTTAGGTCTTTTACTGATATTCTCTTATAAAATCTTATTCTCTTTGTAAGATCTTGTTGCAGAGTCAGAGTGACTGATAAGTAAGCTTCTATCTGAGAACTCAGTGTTCACTTAACTGTTTAACTGTTTCTCTATTTCTTACACATTATTACATGTTCAGATATCTCTTGATGAATAATCATTTCTAATAAGAAGATAATATATGAATAATCATTTCCTAATAAGAAGACAATGAGTATTTTTATAGTGTAAGAGGCCTACACTGAATAGATCAGTATTATATTGATAGGTCTTATTTATGATTCAAAGGTTGCTTAAGCCAGCGTACGATTACAGGCGTACGCCGGCTTCTTATATATCGTAATATCGTACGCTAAATTAATTAGTGGCCGCTATGGCCCCCTTTACACTCGTAAGCAAGTTCGGAAGCGGCCGCGTTATTATCCGACGGTCGTACATTCTTCCGAACCACATCCTCCCCCACCAGATTCGGTCACGCCCACATGACCATGTCGTACGCCCTAGCTTCATGTGGATTAGCTCGCCACTAGCGTTTCGCGATCATGTGGCCTATCCCTGATTCGGCTAGCATCCCGCGTACACCCTCACAAAGAAACTTTCACTATAATACACTACTCATTCACTAACTTTTCCCATCCTTCAACCATCTTCTTCATCATCGTCATCATCGAACGCCACCATCATCCAAGATTCCTACCCCTCCTCCTGTCCAACTCTTTCTATCTGTCCACCTATCACATCGTACGCGTTCCTGGCAATGGCCCCCTGTTTCCACAACAAGTGTCATCGTAGTGCCCATACTGGGCAGTTCATTAGCAGTAAGTGTAACGCGTTGTGAAATGTGGCCAGGACTTGTTTATCTTCTAATGATTGCCAGGATGTATTACCATGAATGACACACCTTCTCCACCTCCTCATACGCCCTCAACTGTTTCCTTCTCAGCGGGTTTCTGATCGTGTTTTCTGGCATGATTTTGCATGGACGCAGATGCTGATATGTTTGTTTTTATTTGTGTAGAATCTTCACACATTGACAGATCCGCGTCCGCTGATGATAGTGAACCCAATGTTGAATCATTGGTTGAGAACTTGGAGAACGCGATAATGAAGGAATTGCCCATGCCATGTGTGACTGGGTCTCCTGCGTCCCCCCCTGCCCCCTCTGTTCCTTCCTCTGCCGCTCCCCCCCAATCTCCTACACCTGCCCCTGTGTCTGGTTCTCCCGCTCCTGCTACCCCTGTTCCCGCGACCCCCACTCCTGCTACTCCTGGTTTTGCTGCCTCTGCTTTCATTACCAGCTCTCCCCGTTTCAAGGAGATGTTGCATAGGCTTAATGAACCATGTTTCCCAGCGCGTATGCTCCCACCCTTCTTGCCGACTCTCAGAATGATTTATTGCATGAAGGCTGTGTACAACATGACTATCTGGAGCTTAGTTGCAGACACTGATTATTACATTTGTTTTAAATATTTGTGGTGGGACAATTGTCCATTCATATCAGAGAATCACCCCCCCCCTCAACAGTGTTGAGATTGTAAGTCTTTTTCTTTTTCATCTTTTCTTTCTGACACTGATTTCCTGTTCTTAGGGGAAATTGTTATGGGTTTTGCTGTGCACGAAGTCATGGCATTCACAGACATCAAGGAGCTTTTTACAACTGTAAAGTTCAACATCACAGGGACATCTGCTCTGGCGAATTTCTTCAGGATGATAGATCTGTATCAGCCTATTCTCTGGTGTCTGTTGTCCGACTTCGTGGTGCAGGCAAAAGATATCTGTGTTTTCAGGAACAGGAATGTGGATGTTGTACTCTTTTACACCCGCGGGCGTGAGGCTTGTACACCTTGTCTGAGATGTTGTTGTGGGAATGGGCCGTTCGCACGCTGTGTTCTGCTTCCTGCATTCCCCCATGTCTCTCTCTCTCTTCCTGAGGAGCCTTGTGTGTGTTGTAATTGCGTGTACAACTCTAAGGCCAGCGGGTGTTTGTTCAGTAACTGTTCCCACCCCTGATTTTGTGATTTTTGTACACTAACAATGGTTCTTAGTTGCTCCGGTGTCAGAGGCCATTCTAATTGAAGATGACAATGCCACTGAGACTACCCTCTCCCGCCCCCAAGCTCCTCCTGTCGCTTCCTCTTCCTCCCCTGCAGGGAAGGTTGTGCGCACACCGGGTTGTAAGTGTTCAGCCCCAGGTGGCTCCCGCCATCGTTCGTCCAGTCCTGCACCTTCTCCTCCTTTCATTTCTTCCGCCTCCGCCCTCCCTGCCCTGGCTCCTGGTCCTGCGGGTCCCGCGCTCTCCTTCAATTTTTCTACATGTACACGTACGCATTCCTATATTGACATTCCAGCCAATCTTGCAATAAATGACATTAATGTTGTACACAGAGCGGTAGAGGAATCAGAGGCATGCACAGCATTGTTGCAGGAGCAGCTTGCGGCCCTCGAATCCCTTGCGAACCTCGAGTTTTGAGATTTCCTTTGTTTTTGGCGTTTTTCGGGTGGCGTGGCGTTGGAAATAGATTAATGTGTGACATATGAAAATGAATGAAGTGTGTATGATAACATTTGTCTTTTGCAGCTGACTCTTATGATTGGTGACCAATTCATTATCTCTTTCCTTTTCTTACACTTTTTCTTTGTCTGCTAGCCACTACTCTTACACGATCTCTATATGATACAGTGTTTGATGACTAGGTTCAGCAGCTTTCATCTTTTGTGATTCTGCCCCGCGCATTATACTGTCTCTCTTCACCCGCTCAGATCACTACAGCAAACAGCTTATCAAAACTAACCTCACCCGACCTCTGAGTGTCTTCAGGGGTCGAGATGGCTTGGTCTCACGCGTCCGCGGATGTTTCAGATGCTTCATCCTCTGTTATCTCTGTGATTGAACTGATGTAAACAGTCAAATTCAACTCTGAATTCCTTTTTCTTCTGTGATCTGACTCATGTGCAAGTCTGCTGCTTTGAGACTACTCTTTGCCACATTGCATCTGCTGTCTGCAGTGTGTTATCATATGATCAGCTACAGTCTCATCACTTATTGAAGTGTGATGTTCATCTAATTTCTTCATTTCTTCTCATTCTTTCCTTGTAATTGTGAAAAGATTGAAATAAGTGAGATCATCTGATTCATAAGTGTCTATGATTTCTCTTACTTCATGAGACTTTTCAATTGTAAGTCTCTTCTTTTTCAACACTGATAATAGTGCTGCAGATGATCATAATTCACTCAGATCTTGCATCTTTGCTTTCATAAGTCATGAATCATTTATTAAGTTGTGTAAGATTCATCCCTCTGATTCTTTCAATGTGTATGTTTTCAGAGAATGTGATTTGAGTATTTTATATGGCTCAAACCATCTAGGTTGAAACTTCTCAGAACTCTCATTATGTATGAGAACTTACATTCTTATCTTGAGACTTGATTTCTTAACTAGTGAGTCTTGTATTCTTTTCAATTGAATTGCTCAGTTCAGGAGTAACTCATTAGCTTTTGTATGTGTGTGGCTGATCTCTTTCAATCTTGATTCCGCATTCATGACTGTTGTGTCTGCAACTGCTACTGCTGTGTCTGTAACTGCTGTTTCCTCCCTCACCTTTTCCAAAGCATTCTTCAGGATGCGCGGGTGCAATCCATACAACAGGTAGAATGATGAACACTTGAAGACTGCATGCTGCTGAATTCGCGTGGCTAATAGCGCCTGATTGAGATATTCATTTCATAATCTCATAGACTTGCTCATTAGATATTTTGTCAGCATGTTTCCTAAGATTTCATTCAAGCATTTCACTTTCCCATTCATTTGCAGGTGATATGGCATTGTTCTACAATGTCTTGTCTGTAACTGGCTCATGAAATGCCTCACTGCTTCTTCTATAAGATTCACACTGTTATCAGTTAGAATCTCATGCAGCATTTCATAGTTAACATAGATCTCATCATGTAGAAACTTCATCACTATCTTCTCTGTCACCTCTGGAACTGCTTTCATAACTGGCCAGTCAGTAGTGTAATCAATAGCAGTGATTATTCATTGATTTCCATTTGATGTCTGCAGCAGTATGTCTATGAGGTTCATCTCTCATCATTTGAACAGTTGTATTGTACACTTCATCTGATGTTGTGCTTTCTTGTGTTCTAATTCTTTCTTAGATTCTTTCATGACCTGGCAATTCAGGCACTCATGAGCATACACCTGAATGTTCTCAGTCATGCTTGATCAGTATACTCTTGATTTAAGTACACTTATGAGTTCAGAGCTTTCTAAGTGACTGAATTCCTTGTATATGTGAGTCATCAAGTCACATCTAAATGAATGTTCTAGATAGGGAGCTTCTGCATATTCTAGATCATGGTAAAGCATAACATTGTTTTTCAATTTTCTCAGCTTGAAGTTCAGAAGCATCTCTTCTACTACTTTCATGAGACACTTATCATTCAACATCTTGCTGTTCTTCAAGTGAGAGATCATTGCATTCACTCATTCTGATTCCTTGCACCCTCTCAGTGTGTTTAATGTGAACTTCCCTTGTACCTGATTCACAGAATTCTTACTCATGAAATCAGGTCTGTGACTGATTGCATCAGGCATCACAGCATCTGATCCCTTTTGATATTTGATATGAAGATTATACACTTGAAACTCTGAGATTCAACATGCTAAGCATTTGAAAGGTTTTGTCATTGATTGTAGATAGACAAGGCTTTCATAATCTGTGATCATCATTGTCATATACTCATTGTCAATATATCTATCTCACAATGCCAGTGCATGCTTGATCACTAGCAATTCCTTTTCATATACTGAGTAATTGAGCTCAGTGCCTGATAGTTTCTTACCATCATATGCCACTGAGTGCAGCTTGCCATTCTTGCTCATCTGTAGAAGGGCATCTCTGATAGCTCATTCAGATGCATCTGTCTTGATATAGAAAGGTTTATTACAATCTGATTGAATAAGTACTGAGAATGTTATTACACATTCTCTCAGTGTGAGAAAAGCCTCTTCACACATGACATTTCAGATGATTGAACAAAACTTCTTCTTTCACAGATTTGCATCTATTTCTCTTAAGAGATCTGAGAGTGATGCAGATATTCATGTGAAATCCTTGATGAATCTGTGATAATATAAGATCAACTCAAGAAACTGTTGTACATAATGTACATTTCTCAGCTGTGGTCAATTCACTATGACATTCAATTTCTCTGAGATGAGGTGTATACAGTCATCACTCACTACATGTTCTACAAACTTCAACTCTTCTGTTTCAAACACACACTTTGTCAGTTTAATGTAGAGCTTATGCTCTGTCAGAGTTGTAAGCACTTCATTGAGATGCTTCAGATGTTCATCATATGAGTTTGAAAAGACTAGAATGTCATTGAGGTATACAAGGCATGAGGTTTCATTCTGTTTATGAAGAATCATATTCATCATTGTTTGAAAGGTGATGAGTGCATTTATTAGACTGAATAGCATTACCAGGAATTCAAACTTCTCTCATTGTGTATTAAATACAGTTCACAGAACTGACAGTTCATCTACACAGATCTGTCAGTATTCTGAGAGAAGATTGATCTTCAATAGATATCAGGTGTTTTCAACTGTATTCAACTGTTATTGAATCTGTGACAGTGAATATTCATTCTTGATTATAAGCTTGTTGAGTGCTTGATAATTGATACACATTCACTACTCCTCATCTGCCTTTTTCATGAATAGAACTGGAAAGCCCCACGCGCTTGATAAGAGTTGTATGAGACCACATTCTAGAAGATCTGTGATCTGATGCTTCTATTCTTTGAGATGTGTTTGTGACAGAGGGTATGCATTCTGATTGACTGGTTTCGCGTCCCCCATGTCAATCTCATGTACGAATCCTTGTTCCGGCAGCAATTTCAGTGAAAGATCTGTTCAGAAGACCTTCTCATGCTTCTTCAGAAGCTTCTTCATACACTTGTCCTTCTGTATATTCTTTATCTTGGTTTCCTCCGCTTCCAGGTCCCATATGACATACAGAATGCTTTTGAATGAGGTCTTGCAAATCATTCTCTTTGCTTGTTGATGTGTAAGCAGATTTAACCCTTCTATATCAGGGGTGTGAAATGTCCTTCTCATATCAGTTGATAGAATTGTATGAACTGTTTTCTTTCTATCAGTCAACTGCATATGACATGTACATCATTGAATCTGTGAATTGAATCTTTGAAATCAATCAAGTTCAAGAATAAGATTGTATTCTACATTCTGCAACTCTCATGCTCAAATATAGCAAGATCATTCTTCAAAGTGCAAGGGAACTCTTACTCTTACAGGTGATATTAAATATCAGTTATCAGATAATCTTATGTGTCAGAGATTCTTCACTCAGTGAACTTCTTTCAGTCTTCAGATCATATAATCACTAATATATTGTGTAGAAGCTTCTGTGTCTGCTAACACTTTTACAGCCATCTCTCAATTCTTACTCAAGTGCCCCTTATACATTAACATTTCAGGCCTCAAGGCATTGAGGTGGGCATCCGCTTCATCATCCTCACTCACATCTCATTTGAAAGCCTGCTTCCTCTTGGCATTCGCAGGATTCAGAGAGTCATCTAACACAGGCATCTCTTTCACTTTGAAGGCTTTTCATAGAATATCAGTGAGTGCCTCTGAGCTCACTGATTCTGCTAGTTTTTTGACTCTCTTGCTTTCCTTGACTGCACATGCTGTGTGTAATCTTTTACACCATGATTTTGGCATCCGCAGTTGAAGCAAGCTCAATGCTCATGATACCAAGGTTTCCACCCAGGGGATCCCTTTTTCAGGGGATTCAGTGCTTTAGTGATGGCATTCAGATCTAGATTCATTGCATTCAGATGTGTAACTTGTGTTGTAGAAGTCTGATTACTCATTCTTCACTGAGGTATACTTGATTGCAGTATTTTCTGTCATAATTGACTCACTTGTTCCTGTACAATGAGAATGTTGTACACTTCTTTCACTGTGCCTGATTGCAAGGTTAAGCATTTCCATTCTACTCTCAACTCAGATGTAAGATCATGAATGAAGATCTGTAAACAGAAAGATGTTAAAAGCTCTTCATTCAATGTGAGATAGTATAAGCTAAAGTGTGTGAAGTACAATGTAAGATTACTCACTTGTCTACACTCAGTGAAGTGTTTGTAACACTTGTCTCACACATTCACTTTCTCAAAGTTATGCAAGATTCATTTGGAAAACTCATTTCATGTTCATGGGAATGAATATTGCTTCAGGTCTGTGAGATTCATCTTTTCATCAGTCATTCATAATGACTTTGCTTTTCTGTGTAGAAACATGACAGATCTTAAGACTTGTTGAAATTCCATTGACTGCCTGCCTGTGAGTTCATGTTCAATTCAATAATATGATTGCATCTGACTTAGCCAGCTGATTGTAGCATCATTTTTTCAGTTATCATTGAAGCTTGATGGCTTCAGCAGATCTCTCAGCTTGATATATTTCATGGTCAGATTCTCATCCTGCGCAGTGATCTCTGATGATGTGTATGCTTCTGAAGAGGTTGTGAACAATTGTGGTGAGATCTTCAGGTTCAGTGTAGTCACCTGTCTGTGTAAACATTCAATCTCCCGCTGCAGGCCTAAGACCTGGTTTTCTCTATTCTTATTGATGATGGCAATTGTGTCAGTGAAGCTCTTCATAGTGAATGCTTGATCTGCAGTGAATGCTAATTGTTGTTTGACTTTCACCTCAGCCTGTCACTGCGTATGCAAGGCCTTGATCTTGTTTAGAATTCTTGTACACATACAGAGCTTCAATTCCAGTTCAGTGATTTCAGCCACTTTTCTTACTGCTTCAAGTAAACCCTCTGAAAGGTTCTGCATATCTTCCAGTTCAGATAGCAGAGAAGAGTGTTGTTCATATTGACTAGAAAAGGTCTTCATTTCAGTGTTTTCTTGTTGATTGTACAATGTCTATTATTATATCACTGTATCATTATATGATTTCTGTTATCATTGTATGACTCTGATGGTGGCCACCCCCCCCCCTCTTTTTATCCTTCTTTTGAGTAGGGAGCAGACTTCTTTGAATCTGGTTCATCACTCTCATCCCTTTTCTCACACCTCATTCATTCGCATACATGGCATTCGCCTGGGTGTGAAGTTTTCCCTCAACAAGCAAAGCAGTATCAATCAGATGCTCTTCTGCTCACTGCTCTTCATATACTATCTTTTGAGGTGTTCTAGGACCACACTGGCATGATAACTACAAATCACTTTGTAGACAGAATTATCACACTCTGGAGGAGCCTGCACTTCTCACCAGTTTTTAGACATGCTACCAGATGTGATTCAAAGGTTGCTTAAGTCAGTGTACGATTACAGGCGTATGCCGGCTTCTTATATATCATAATATCGTATGCTAAATTAATTAGTGGCTGCTATGACCCTCTTTACACTCGTAAGCAAGTTCGGAAGCGGCCGCGTTATTATCCGACGGTCGTACGTTCTTCCGAACCACATATTTAACAAAGATAAAAACATTAAAGAAGGAAAGAAAGAGAAAGTGTAAGAATCAGTGATCAAGATAAATATTTATATATGTATATAGTGATGTACACAGTGAAGCTTTGAGGTGAAAGAATATACATGCATTTGTAGTGACTGAGGATCAGTGATTGAGAATGACTGAGAATCAGAGTGTATGTGTTTATAGCAACTGAAGATCAGTGATTGAGAATGATTATAAATTAAAGTATATATGTTCAAGAATGAAGCAGTTGAAATCTGTGAAGTGTAATGAAATAGTCTATATAATTGATAAGATGCAGCCCGTCACATTAGAATCAGTGATCAGAAATAGCTGAGAATCAGAGTGCATGTATTTGAGAGTGAATTGAGAGTGGAACAGAAGAATCTATGAAGTGTAATGAAATAGTCTATATAATTGATTAGGTGCAGCTCATCACAATTGTCATCTGATCTCTTCAAGTGTGGCGGGCTACGCCTGATCAATTATATAGACTATTCCATTACACTTCACAGATTCCAACCACTTCATTCTCGAATGCGTACGCTCCGATTCTCAGTCATTCTCGATCGCCGATCCTCGGCCGCTACGAACGCGCGTATATTCTCCCGCCCCGAAGCTCCACCGCGTACACCACCACATACACGTATAAATATCCACCTCAATCGCCAATTGTCGGATTGGGTGTCACGGATGAATATGTTGAAGACATATGAATCTTATCTGTATCAAGATCTGCTTGTTCTATTATCTGTACACTATCTAATATATCTATTTCATACAAAAGATGGAGCTATTTATAGTAAAATATATGTGCGAGCCAAGAGAGCTAGCATAAGTGAGTATTAGATGAGTGTTGTAGTAAGCTGATGATGATGAGAAATATTGTAGTAATATGATGTTGATGGTGTTCAGTAATACGATGTTGGTGGTGTTCAGTAGTGTATAACCTCTTTTTCCTGACACACCCCCTTCAGTGAATGTAACATGTAAATGAAAGTGTAAATGAAGCTGCAACAAAAAGAGTGTAGATGAATCTGTAGAGATTACATCAAGATAGATCATTTAATCTGCTTGCACCTTGATGATATCTGATATATCAACTAGGCCTAGCATCTTGACGAATTCTGTATGTTTCTGGCGTGGCAGAGCCTTAGTGAGGCCATCCACTGGCATCTGGGCCGTAGGCACCCAATCAACTGTAATATCGCCGGATTGAACACATTCTCAGAGCCAGCTTCCATATATATCAATGTGGCGGAGCTTCGTGGTTATAGAGGGGTCTTCCTTTGTAAGAATGTCAACAGTTTGACAGTTATCACATTGAATACGGATCTTGTGGCCAGGTTCAAATTGAATATGTTGGAAGAATCTATCCCACCAGATAGACTCCTTGCCAGCTTGTGAGATAGCAACAAGCTCAGCTTCTGTGATAGATGTAGTTATGATTGTCTGCCTATTTGATTTCCAATCAACAGTTCCACTGAATAGTTTGAAGATATATCCTTGTGTAGAGCGGTGATCCGGATTATCTGTGAAAGAGGCATCACTGACGGCTTCAATGATATCAGGTTTGAGATCAAGTTGTAGAGGTCTGCCAATGTTACCATCATATTGAATAGCGAGATTCTTTGTATCACATAGATAAGATATCATTCTATCCACCTCTGATGAGTGGTGTTCTGATGGATTTGTCATGAACATAGCTAGTTTACTCACTGCATATGTGATATCAGGGCGAGTCATCACTGCTGAGTAGATGCAGAAGCTGATACATTGTTGATAATGATGGATTTTTGCAGATCTAGCTGGCTTGTTAAAAGGCTCTAATGAAGCACCAGTTAGTGGGGTATATGCCTTGCGGGTGTGTGTGAGATGATATGTATCAACTATCTTATCAATATAGGCATCCTGGCATAGCCAGAGCTTCAAGTTGGGGCAATCGCGTATTATTCGCATGTTGAGAAACCATTTCAAATCTCCCATCTGTTGAATCTTGTAGATGTTTTTAAGATCTTTGATTAGTTGATCTCTTTCTTTTGAATCTTCTCGTTGCAATAGGATGATGATATCATCCACATAGAAGAAGATGATTAATCGATCATTAGAGAAGAGACATCAATCCTCTGGCATAGAGGTGAAGTCTAATGTTCTCAATGTTGAAGATAGTTCATTTAACCAGAGAAGGGGTGATCTGTGTAATTCATATAGTGCTCATAGAAGTTTTAGCACATGGTTTGTACACTTCAAATTTTGCACCCTCTTCAACTTCCACCATTCATCAGGTAGTTCCACATATACTAGCTCATCAATATCACTATTAATGAAGGCATTGATTTCATCTAGCTGTTCCGCATCTAGATCAAATGCTGCTGTTAAAGCTAACAAGATTCGAAGATCTCTGGCTGCTAGAGTGTGGGCTTTTGTAGTGAGATCTGTGGTTGGTTGAAGATCTCCGCGTACGCAGATGCGAGCTTTGTATTTCAAAAGAAAACCTTCATCATCAAATTTGTAGATGAATACCCATTGTAGGGGGATAACTGAGACATCTCTCTGTGATCTGCTAGTAATTTCATATGTATTTTGCAGAGATATACTATTCCATTCCTGTTTGACAGCATTCTCAAATTCTTCACAATGTGGGTGTTTTTTGACATCTGCTCAGTGGTTCGGTGGATCTGGCATTTGAGATCTATGAATTCTTGAAGTTGATATGAATGCTGTTGATGTAGCAGTATTGTTGATAACTGTGAAAACAGTATTTGAAAATAAATGTTGAGACTTGTAGAAGTCTGGATGTGATTGAGAGAATGCCTCATTTATCATTTGTAATGGATTGTTTTTGGCATTTGAAACTGCCACAAGGTGGGCAGCTCTGTGTTTTCGTGTTCTGCGACCTTCAATGATATTAGCTTCATCAAAATCAGCACTGATATCTTGAGCTCTAGATGCAATGTTCCGTGTTTGATTATCTATCACAGCTGGATGAGTATTAATATCAACATCAGAACCTGTTGGCTCTGGCGTTGGATCTGGTGTAGAAAGGATTGAAACATCATGGTGTTTATACTTATTATTCTCCTTCTCTATTTTTTCAGAGCTTTGAGCATTTTCTTCAGGGTGAAAAACATCAATATCTGCATCTATAATCTCTTTCAATTGATTGATAGTAGTCATCGATGATTCTCGAACTTTCATATGTAGAAGCTTCACCTCCTTAGATACTCAATCTCTTAGTTGTCTTTTGATGTAGGGGTCTTCTGAGTTGAATTTCCTATTCTCATCAAACATCACATCTCTTGCTCTTATCACCCATTCTAAGTGTGGAATTCAAATTTGATAGATGTTTGTTGAATCATATTCAACTAGATATTCAATATGTGCTCGGGAATCTAGCTTCTGAGAGCGGTTTCTATTGAGGACTTCATCTGGTATCTTTGCATAGGTGCGACATCTGTAGATTCAAAGATAAGTACAGAAGTGAGGTTTGATTTATAGAAATTCTTTCAATGCTCATAGAGATGACTTTCAATCTAGAATTCTAGTAGGGGTTCAATTCGCTAGGTAGGTGGCAGCAAGTGCAATCTCAGGAAATAGTGATTGTGGCAGAAGGGATTCTATCTGTAGAGTTCTTGTCTTTGTTAATAATATTGCTCCTGCTCACTCTGCTGCATCATTTTGTTCATGAATATACTCTGAAGAATACTTCATCTCTAGGTCTTCATCATTCACTCAATTTGTGAAATCAACTGCTTCCTTGATTACAGTATCATTGTTGATATGAATAATCTTTGTAGTACAGTTGAATTGATGTTTAATTCAATTGATAGCTTGCTTAAGAGCTTTTCAAATATCTGATTTTCAGATAGCTGTTATAGCTATATGAAAATGTAGATAATCACACATGAAATGTATGAGATAACGCTCACCATTATAGCACTGTGTAGGGCCATGTGTGATATCCGCGTGTAGGCGTTCGAATGGTATTTGAGATCTAATGTGGGAATGTCTAGATATTTGATTTTTTGCATTAGATAGATGGCAGGGTTCACAAAGCTCAGTGGTAAGCTCATCCGCAGCATCTTCTAGATTGGTGATTTGAACACCAGTTGCATCATTTGCAAGCTTTTGTATGGCAATTTTCAATGGATGTTCTAATCTCTTATGCCATGTTGATTGAGTAGCTATAGAGATCTTAGGTTTTTGAGAAGGTTTTGTGTGTATTGGCAGGTTGGAAGAAGGATTTATAGAAGTTGAAGAATTTGAAGATATTGTTTTTTCAGATATAGTGATGTTAGATGTATGTGGTGTAGTAACTGCATTGGCTTCGGTAGTGGATTTTTCCAAGATAGTT